TTTTAATTTTTTTTTTTTCAGAACTGGGGGTTGAACTCAGGGCCTTGCGCTTGCCAGGCAAACACTTATTCTACTGAGCCATCTCCCCAGCCCCTAGAATTGTTTTTAAAAGTGTGGGAAAGGTTTATAAGAGTGGGAAGGATTTATAAAGCCTTAAAATACATATTATAAAGGCGCTGGGGAGATGGCATAGTGGAGTAAGCGCTTCCCTGGCAAGTACAAACGCAAGGGCAAGAATTCAATCCCCGGTTCCAATAGACATTTATAATCAAATGATTGATTAGCCGTAATTTGAACCGTGCTCATCAAAGTGCACTCATTTACCTAGAAATGTCTTTAATTTATCCTTGATGACCAAGTATTACTCCATTGTATAAAAATAAGTTTTCATTGGTTGATGAGCATTTGGGCTATTTTCCAAAATTTAGCTATTAAAAACTATGCACATGGCTGGACATGTATCATTGTGGTATGATGTTTTCAGCTTTCAGGAAGATACCAAGAAGGGGATAACTGGATCAAATGGAACCTTTAGGGTTTTTTGTTTTCGTTTGGCCGGTTCAGCCAGCCCTGAGGGTGGGGCTGGCACTGCGTGTGGTGCCAGGAATCAAACCATGGTCCCCTGCATCTGCCTGAGCTTGCATAAGCAGGTGCTTTAGACCACTGAGCTATCTCATTGGCCCTCGTTTATTTTTTGAGTAATCTCATACAGCCAATCTTATTGGTTGTACCAAATTACACCCCCAACATCCCTGCCTGCATTTGTTATTGGTTGACTTCTTAATGAAAGCCCTTCTTGAGTGTCTTAATTTGCATCCCCTTGAATGACCAGTGCTGTAGAACTTCTGTTTTGGTCTTTTGAGACAGGGTCTCACTATGCAGTTCAGGCTGACCTTGCTCACTTTGTAGCTGAGGCTGGTCTCAAACGATCCTCCCGCCTCGGTTTCCTGAGTGCTGGGATGTCAGGCTGCACCACCACCTCCAGCTGATTTAGAACAGTGTTTCATACATCTGCTTGCTGTTTGCATTACATGTGAGAGGTGTCTTTTTCTCAGAATCCCAGTTTTGGGGTAAGTCTTTAAATTTAGGGGGACTAATATTTTTTGAGCTGTTTATATGTTCTACGTGGTAGTCTGTTTTCACGGACAGCTATTTTAAAGAAGTGGACTTGTAGCCTAGAGAGTATGGGGTTTGTGACATTGTTTTTCTGACTTCTAGATCTTTGGCTTGAAGTTCATCTTGGGGACTGAAGAGCTCTGGCCTCTGCTGCTCGGCTTCACCATTATCCCAGCCATCTTGCAAAGTCTGGCACTTCCTCTTTGCCCGGAAAGTCCTAGATTCTTACTCATTAACAGAAAAGAAGAGGAGCGTGCTAGGAAAAGTGAGTGCCCTAGGGCCAGTGAGATAGCTCAGCGGACTAAGTGCCTGCTTGGGGGCAAGTGCAGGGACCAGGGTTCGATCCCTGGCACCACAGGCAGTGCTGGTCCCACCCATAGGTGTACTGAGCCAGCCAATGAGACCCAGCGTGGTGGCCCACGCAAACCTGTAATCCCAGCCCTGGGGAGGCTGAATGGAAACAGGATCATTACAACTCCAAGCTGCGTAGTGAAACCCTGTATCAAATTCGTAAATTACAAAAAAAAAAAAAAAAAAAAAAAAAAAGTGCTGTTTGTGCTGCATTTTATGATTGGGGCTTTAAAGTATTCGGGAGAGGGAGGGCTAAGACGTCCCCAGCTTCTCTGCGGCTCCCCCTGGGCGGGGAGCTGAGGATGGTGTCCTGGTCCCTGGCTCTGTGTAGCGCCATGCGGCTGGAGGACAGGTTTTGGCAGGAGGACATGGTTCCAGGCCTCCCTCACTCCCTCCCCTGGCTCTCCTCACCAGTCCTGCAGCGGCTGTGGGGCTCTGAGGACGTGTCCCAGGACATCCAGGAGATGAAGGACGAGAG